TGGGAGTTGGCCCAACGTTAGCTGTGCAATTGAGATATAGGGGCTTCTTGCATTGGAGGAGGGAGACAGGGGAGAAGGAGCCAGATTAGCAGGAGGCGGAGGAGGTGAAGGAGGAAGAGGAGGAGGAGGAGGTGGAGGAGGAGGTGGAAGGAGCAAGATGCCATCCTTCAAGAGTGAATGGCTCGAATCTTCATGGCAAGACGGGCGTCGTCCTGCAAGGCTGAGGCCTTCGCTCATGATACCGCAATTGATCTGCTGGCCAGTTTTCAATGTCTTGCTGCCCTCGACGGCCGACAGGGTGTGAGGCGGCTGGTGCGACAGCACCCTAGGCTCAGGAAAGAGAAAGAGTACGGAGCAGGAGCACGAGCAGCAGGAGGAGGTGAATGGGGGAGGAGGGGAAAGGAAGGACGCTTACACGACATCGCTTGCACCACATAGCTTACCCCGCATAGTGTGCACCTCGATAGCGCACACTCACTAGCTTACACCACATCGCTTTTACCGCAGCTTACACTGGATAGTTTCCACCTTCACAGTGCAATAGCGCACTGTTTGAGGTCCAAGCTTGCTGACATGCTTACCTCTTCCGCTCTCCTCAGGAAGCTGATGGCATCGCTGATCATTACAGCAATTCTTTCGCTTCTTCGCACACCGTCATGCGAACACTCTGGAAGTAGCCAAGGGGAGGATGCCAAATTGGTCGACAACGAGCTGACAGCTGCTGATGTGGATATCATCTTCAACCGAATGAGGATGTTCGCAGCAGGGGCATGCATGCTTTAGATGGAATGGTTGTGTAATGTGGGCGGCATTTCACAATTCGCACATCGCCATGCAAACTAGAGGCCGCCTTGGGAGCGCGTCGCACCCTTTGATGCGATGGTCGAAGCTTTCGGACGCTGGGCGGGGTGCGAAGCAGTGGCAGGGCTTCACTCAGTTCTCCGTATCCCTGCGCCTACCTTTATCAAGGACAGTTCGCGCTTGTCGCAGGCTGACCTTCTCTCGGTGTTTGAGGCATCTGCAGCGCCAGGTGCAGTTCTGTCAGGAATTCGTTGGATCGCGATTCGTGTGCGAGGGGGGAGGTGGGCACAATCGGAAACGCATCAAAACGTGGCAATGCCAGTCCCTCCTGTCGTTGGGAGCGCAGGCCACCTCCCGGTATCCCATGGGGCCTCGGTTCGTAGTGCAGCAGTGTTGTGTAAACACGTGGGTCGGATAATGCAGTTTTCTCGATATTCCAGAGCCCTGCCTCTGGGTTTCTCTCTTGCTCGTTCTCCCTCTCTCCCTCTCTCTCTGCGATACTCTCTCACTATCTCTGCGTTCCTCCCTCTCTCTCTCTCTCTCCCCCCCTACTTTCCTCTCTGTCTCTCTCTTTCCCTCGGTCTCTCAGCTTTCCTCTGTCGGTCTCTCTCTCTCTCTCTGCTTTCGTGCGACCTTGTGAGGTCCAGCGGCGATGTCAAAATCGAGTATCCCGTCAACCATACAACATCACATGGTTTTGCAGCGTCAGTTGTCAAAAATGCCTGCGCCCGCAGTCTGGCGAATTCTTAAGAACACCATAGTTTTTCTCAACATTGTCATTCAATTCGGCCAACAACCTTGCGCGCCCGCTGGGGACGATCCGTGCCAAGTAATATCATGCGGGCCACTCTCGCGCGTCGACCGCGCGTGCATGTCGGACTCCATCCAAAACCTTCATCACCGACGCGATGACGCCGCCATCGTCGTCGACGGAGTGATCAGCATCGGCGCCGTCATTGGCCTTGCCCTCGTCGTTGTCATCATCGTGTCCCCTGGAAAAAGCCCAGCGATCAGCCCCACCGCGGCCGCGTCGGTCGCGCCAAACTAGTTGGCCGCTGCGCGCGCGAGTGCACCAGCCAACACCAAGCACTCATCGCAATCACCGCCGTATGGGTTTTGCAAGCCAAGCTGCGAGTGGGTGGGTGTGATGGTTCGCGCGAGCACTAGAGCGGGCAACTTCAAGTGCGGTAGGGTGGACATCCCCATTGAAACCACAGGGATCCTTCCGAGTTCATTCGGGGTCTAAACATGGTGTTCTCTGACAAGCTTCGTGGACAAAATTGACACCTCCCGCGTTTGTCACGTGAGGTTTCGCAGAAATGGCTGTTTCGTTCGGGACAGATTCAGCGAAATGGTTGCGGATGGGGGTTCCGATTCAACATCGTCTTGGAAACAGTGTTGGACGGGGCCCACCGTGGCCCACAAGAGCCCCAAAAGGCACCCCGGGGGACCCAGTGTGGGTCCCAATAGAGCTTAGGAGGCCCCCAGACTGCCCAAACATCCCAAAGTGGCGCCAAGACAGCGTGGGGAGATCCACCGCATAACCTTAAGACGCGCCCAGGCAGCCCAAGAAGACCCTAGTAGCCCCCGAGAGGACTCCGACAGGCCCCCAAGAGTCCCCCAGGGTGCCCCTAGATAGCTTCAGAAGATCACGAAGACCCCCCCGTGCTTCGACGTCCTTTTCCTCGGTCTCCTTACAGTCCTCCTTAGTCGTCCTCATCCATCTCCTCCTCTTCCTCCTCCCTCTCATCCGCCGCTGCATTCCTCCCACTGCTCATTCCATTTGTTCCTCATCCTCGCGCTTGTCTTCCTTCTCGTTGTCCTCCTGCTGCCTTCGCTGCCCTCCTTGTCATCCACGCGATCATCCTCGTCATCCGCCGCCATATCTTCGCCATCGTCTTTGGCTTCTTTCCCCACTACGAGCCCAGAGGACAAACTTGGCACTTTCCGATTTTTCGAACAGGTTTACGTGCGGCGTCGCCTCCGTGGGCGCTGCTTGACGCACAGTTGTTCCCGCTTTCCCGCGGCCAGGGGTGTCCAGCGAAGTGGCTTCTTACGCAGACCTGTTGAGACCTCGCTCCCTGGTATGCCGCTAAACGAAGCTTTCTCAGCTCGCCGGCTCGTCGTTGGGGTCATCGGAGCGGTGGCCTACGTATGTTCACTGAGGCCTCGCAGAGGGGAAGTCAGAGGGGGCAGTTCTTCTCAGAATGCTTGGATGGCCCCCAGCCTTCTGAGAAGTTTCCTAAACCTTCTCCGAAGACAGATGGCTTTCAGAAGGCAGGAGAGCTTCTGAGAAGCCCCGCCACCTTCCGAGAAGGTCTGCCCCCTCTCACGCCCCCCACCCCGGGCGTGCTGCCAACATTCGCTTCGCAATTCGGATCCGAGGCGCCGCCGACCATACAAAGTGGATCAAGAAGGACGGCGTCTGCCACACATCGAATCTGATTGGTTCACTTCGTGTCGACGAAGGGGGGCGCCCCCAGCGTGGGCGTTCAAGATTTAACGCCGCTAGTGGCCCAGAATCGGCCAATATGGAACGATCTGGCAGACGAAAGACCGCCGATAGTTCAAAGTTGGACGATCCGCGCGGTGTCAGGACCCAACGCAGAAGTTGACACGACACGAACCTCCCGTACGGCCTCGGCCCCCTTTTTGGTTCTGGTCGGGCGCGTGGACGTCCACGATGTCCTACGCCCCGGGGGCGGAGTCCAGAATTGCCTCTTGCGGAGTCTTCGCTTCGTGTTTGCGTCGGTAACATCATTAGCCGTGTGTCAAAAAGAAAATGCATAAACATACATGCTTGTTTTCCCACTAGTTTTGGTTATTCTGGGGTCTTCGGATGCGGCACGCTCGTGAGCATACCTTTTGCATACCCAATTATCCTGGCGACGTATTAGGTCGCCTGACGGTTGAGGCCGAGCTTCGTTTTCGGGAGCAGAATTAGGGGGGGATTTCATGGCGCGGGCAATGATTTTTCCTCAGATTTCATGGTGCCTCTTCTTATTCCCTACCTAGGCTCTGCCTAGAAGGGTTCTTACTCGGTATGCTTAAAGGGCCGAGCACTGTAATGCGCCCCGGGCGGTTCCCCGGTTCCCCCAGCATCCGCTCCGCAGTTCCCCCAGTCCCCTGAGAGCTTTAGCGTTAGCTTTAGCTTTACTCTTAGCTTAGTTTTAGCTTAGATGTAGCTTAAATTTAGCTTAGATGTAGCTTAACTGTAGCTTAGCTTTAGCTTAGCTTTAGCTTAGCTTTAGCTTTAGCTTAGCGTTAGCTTAGTTTTAGTTTAGCTGTACCTTAGCTTTACCTTAGCTTTAGTTTCGCTTTAGTTTCAAGTTAGCTTCGCTTTAGCTTAGCTTTAGCTTAGCTTTAGCTTAGCGTTAGCTTAACTTTAGCTTAGGCTTAGCTTAGCTGTAGCTTAGCGTTAGCTTAGTTTTAGCTATAAATGCTGCTTAGCTTTAGCTCATCTTTATCTTAGCTTTAACTTAGACTTAGCTTAGCCTAAGCTTAGTTTTAGCTTAGTTTTAGCTTAGCTTTAGCCTAGCTTTAGCTTAGCTTTACGGTTACTACTAATGCTGCTTCTCTAGGGACTTCAACTCCTAGGTAGGGTCGCACTGGGATAATTTCATTACGTCCCAGGCTCCCCCGCTGGGCCGCGCACATGCCGCCGGTCATGATTTGCACCCCCCCTCTTGGACACCCCCCTCTTGGCCGCTCCCGACGTTTCCCTCCAACAACAAACGCTCAAGGGCACTCGGTTTTCTGCATCCATCGGGGTTCCAGAGAGGTGTCATGCGTTGCTGGGGTGAGATGTCGTTCCCCTGGGCGTTGCCAAACTTACAGCCGCCTCCACCGTTTGCGCCCCTAGGGGTGTCCAGCTGAGTGGCGTTCTGCACAGATCCTCCCCGTGGTGTTGCCAAATAGGTTGAGTACGTCCGTCCCTGGGCAATTTCTCAGAGCTCGCTGCTACCATTGCAGGCGCATTCCAGATGTTCGTTTTGTGATTGTGATGAACAGACATCTGACCCTGGTTCAACACTTCGGGAATTTTCTCGGCCACTATGCAACAGCCTCATGTGACAGTCACATCCGATGATGCTTACCTGCCTGCTGGCTTGCCAGCCTTAGGTGTCTGAACTTGGCGCACCATCACAATAGCTCTGCGATATTATCGCCCTGTCGACAACGTGAGCATGGGGGTTTGCAGCCGTAGGCTCAATCTTGAAGTGTCTGGTGTTGCCAACGTCCGCGTTCGCCCCTCTCGGTCGCACCAGCTAGGATGCAAGTCCTGTGATGTTACATTCTGAAGCGGCGTTCGTATTTCCCTGGTCGAAACGGGCTTCATCGGGCTGAAATCCAGCTTGCTCCTAAGCTTAATGTTCCCTGATACGGATCACTGGCCTCTGAATCAGGCTTAATAGCTCCAAGTCGCTCTGACGAAGACCTCCTAGGAGTTGCCTCCGAACACCAGGGAGTAGTGACACCAATGGCGCGCTTCGGCGGCAGGGTCCTGCCTGCGGCCTTCGTCGCGCTCGCGCTTGCCAGTATCTGCTGCCTTCCCAGCTGCTTCGTGCCGGCGGTGGACCGGCGGGCCGTCCTCGCAGCCGCGGCGGCGGCTGCCGTTGCTGGGCAGCAGCAGCAGGCGGAGGCCGCGCAGGCGAGGTTCTCCGTGTTCGGGTTTGACGGGAGCTTAGGAAGAAACGGTTCGAGCGTGAATCGCAGAGGCTGGAATTTTAAGGTTTTCGGTCGTTCTCGTCGGTTTTCGGCGGTCAGACTCGGGATGCCTTCCAGCGGCTGCGCCTCGCCAAGAGCGTTCCCAAAGTGCCCGGATTGTCCCGAATGGCCGCCCCAGGCTCGAGTTATGAGCATCACCGGGCGGGATACCGATACCGCTTCCCTTGCCTCGTTTGCGCCTTTGTGGGCCTCCTGGGAGTCCCTCGTCGCCACCGCTGGAGTCGCCTTAGTAAATCTAGTCAGAACGCACCCGGGGAGAGGCCCGGGGCGTATCGGTATGTATATTTGTCTGTTTCCGCAGGAGCGGGAAGGGCGCCGTGTCAGACGCCTACCAGCAGATCGACCCCGACGCGATCTCGCCTTACTCGCAGTTCAGCAACCCCAAGGACTCCGAGTACACAAACAACAAGGACCTACAAGAAAAGCTCTACGCAAAAAACAAGGCCAGGGTGATCGAGTACGTGTCGATGCTCGACAAGGTCCCCGAGTTGATTCAGAAGAAGCAGTCCGAGAATCTGAAGAGCCTGCTGACCACCAAGCTCTACAGCCTCCGCGAAGTCATGGAGTACGTGACCAGTAAGGGCGCGCCGTTCTACCGCAAGAATGACGCAGCAGGCATGAAGGAGGCCGACCTCTTCTTTCAGGATCTGGCTGACCTCGGCGTGGCGGGCCGGGAGAGGAATTGGGGCTGGGCGGCTGAGTCGTATGACAAGGCCAAGGGCAGCTTCCTGGCGTGGAAGAACGTGGTGGGGATCTGAGCTGCCTGGGCATGCTTCTGGGTGTCAGCCGCCTCCCGAGTCTGCCAATGTCAGGTTGACATGGTCAGCTGGGAAAGGGCACAGGGAGTTCGGTCGATATTCTTCCGTCAGGATCTACGCAGCACGCATCGGGGATGGTGATGTACCGTTCATTGCTTCCGAGCGTGCTAGATGCACCTGATAGTCAGCAGGAGTATGCATTTTTTCAAGTTGCCCGCAGCATGTGGACAGCGGGCGCGACGAGGCAACAAAACGTGCGCCTCTGGAGTCTGCCCGCACCTCGCTTCTTACGGCAGATCCTCAGCAGACGCCTTGAGTAATCCGCTTGCAGTCCATCCTTGAAGAGGCCGCGCTGCATCTGGCAGTGTGGTCCGCGTATTCCAATTAGGACAGCGGGTGGACCCCAAACAGCGGCTCTGTGCATTCTTTTGGGTGCAAGCTATGGGGTGCAGCCTGTGGGTGCAATCTATGGGGTGTAGCCTGAGGGGTATGATCTAGGGGATGCTATTGATTTTAACAAACGAGTTGACACATCCCGCGCTCTTGCAAACATCCCACCCACCCACCCGCAACTTGGTTTGCAAAACCCACGACGACGATGACGACGCCGACGACGACGACAACGACGACACCGACGACGACGACGACGACGTCAACGACGCCGACGACGACGACGACGACGGCGGCGGCGACGACGACGACGCCGACGTCGGCGACGACGAAAATGACGACGACGACGCCGACGCCGACGACGACGACGACGAAGACGACGACGTCGCCAACGAAGACGACGACGAGGGAGGAGGGAGGACGACGACGGCGACAACGACGACAACGATGACAACGACGAGGGAGGAGGGAGGACGGCGACGACGCGAACGACGAAGAAGGAGGAATGACGGCGACGCCGACGACGACAACGACGAGGGAGGAGGGACGACGACGACGAAACGAAAAAGACGACGACAACGGCGACGAAATAGACGGGACGACGACGAGACGCCGACGACGGACGACGACGACGAGGGAGGAGGAGCAAGGACGACCACGGCGACAACGACGACGGAAACGACCACGACGCCAAAAAGGACGACGACGACGAACACGAGGAAAGACACAGGACGACGTAGGCGACGACGACGACGCGGGAGGAGGGAGGACGGCGACGACGACGACGACGACGACGCCGCAAGAGCGCGCGCGCACGCTTTTGTTGAGAATCCGTGTTGCGAAACCTTGTGTTTTGGTATGTTTTTTTTTGGACGCACGATTATGAACTCCTTCCGACACCAATGGGTTGTGAAGGTTTTCGGCGTACGCGCGCGACGACGCGCGCGTCTGCACTTCGTCCCATTGTTTGCAGAGGATTCTCGCGACGGCACACGCGCAAGGGCGTTCGACAGACTTCGACATGCGCGCGCGCGAAGCCCGTTGGAGTGCATTGTGTGAAAATCTGGAAAAACATTTTTTGTTGTTTTTAAAAAGAAATCGCAAGAGCGCGCGCGGAAGTTTTTTTAGCAAATCGGCGTTGCGAAACCATGTGTTTTTGTATGTTGTTTGGGAACTCGATTGCGAAATCCTTCCAGCACCGAAGGTTTTTGAAGGATTTCGGCATGCGCGCGCGACGACGCGCGCCTGCGCACTTCGTCCCATTTGTTGCAAGGGATTCGTAACAAAGTGTTATGTTAGAACAAACATGTCACCGCATAGTGTTTTTTTGGTTTGTTATTTTACAAGGGAACCTCAGGGGGGGATACCGGCCTGCCTGGGATAGTGTAGCTTTATTTTTAGGATGCACATGTGGTCAGAAGCATTTATGATTTACATACCCGAGAAGGGGATTGACAACGCGGGGGGGGGGTAGATCCTATTTTGTTTTTTAGAAAGGAGCACATTGATTTCTGTTTTCAATGAGTTGCCCACCCCACTGCTCGCGCAAACACCCCACCCACCCGCCCGCAACTTGGTTTGCAAACCCCATGCGGCGGCGATTGCGATGAGTGCTGGGCGCTGGCTGGTGCATCTCTGCGGCCGCGCCAGCCCGCGCATGCGCGCGCGCGCGCGGCGGCCAGGTGGTTTGGCGCGACCGGCGAAGCCGCGGTGGTGTTGACCGCTTGGCACATGCCAACGGGCATGTGAGTGCGAGACGGCGGTTTGGGCGGCTGCGGCATCATAGCAACGTCGACACTTGTAGACACGATGGCGATGATAGTGGCGACTTTGGTGACGACACTTGTAGACATGATGATGATGATGATGATGATTATGATGATGATGATGATGCGGATGATGGTGATGATGATAGTGGTGATGACGGCCACCGATGCCGATCACGCCGGCGACTGAAGGTTTTGGAAGGAATTCGAAATGCGCGCGCGGCAGACGCGTGAGAGTGGCTCGCGTGGTATGATTTGACACGGGTCGTGCCACCCCAGCACGCGCGCGAAGGGTGATCGAACAATTTCGCCATGCCGCATTTCATGGAATTTCTGAACACTTGTTGTGGTTTCCTGTAGAATTTGCAAAAGCGTTCACGCCTTTGTTGAGAATCCGTGTTGCGAAATGAGTTGTTCTGGTATGTGTTTTGGCATGCGCGCGACGACGCGCGCGTGTGCACTTCGTCCCGGTTTTTCGCAACGGATTCTCGCGACGGCACGCGCACAAAAGGGCCTTCGCACGATTTCGACATGCGCCCGCGCAAAGCCCGTTTGGTAGTTTGTTTTTGAAGATGTTGATACACCTTCTTGGTGTTCTGGAGAATTCGCAAAAGCGCGCAGGCTTTTGTTGAATATTTGTGCTGCGAAACGTTTTGTATTTGTATGTTTTTTGGACACTCGATTTTGGAATTTCTCCGCATCCCAAGTTTTCTGTATGACGACGACGCGCGCGTCTGTGCATTTCGTCCCGTTTTTTGTTTCAATGGATTTCTGAAAACTAATGTTTTTGGATAGTTAGCCGATTGCGCACGCATCGTGTTTTCTTGCTAGAAAACCGAGGGGGGGTGATACTGGCTTGGCTGGAATAGTATGAGTTGACCGGTAGGACGGACATTGGGTCAAAACCATATGTGTTTTACATCGGTTCCCGGTGACTGGATGAGTCCAGTGGGGGGAGGGTGGTAGAATCTATTTCTTGTTTATAAAGGTGAATCTATGTTGTGCCACGTTTGGTGTGCAACCCATGTGGTGCAATGCGTATGGCGCAGTGTGGTGCATGCGATGTAATGTTTGTTGTTCAGCGGGGCCGCGGCTCCGGGGCGGCGACGGCGAATACGCAGCCATACGGAGCCGCCTGACTGACAGTCTGACTCAGACGACGGGTAGCGAGGGGGCGGCGACGGCGAAAACGGAGCCGCCAGACCGATCCCCAGGCCCAGACGACGGGCGGCGACGATGAGGCGACGGGGCGACAACGTCGAACACGGAGCCGCCAAGCCGACACCTAGGCCGAATCCCTGCTATCACACATGAAAAAACACCTAGGTGCAAACATTGTTTTGGGAACGAAAACTGTATGGTCACCCTTTTCCTTCCTGTTTGTTCCGCTATGCGGGAGCAGAGCGGCACACGCGCATGCAGGAACCCCAAGGAGAAGGTGCTGGCCCTGCCCCAGTTCGAGAGGGCTTTGAAGGAATGCGCCGTGAAGAAGGGCGTGGAACTTGGGGACACCCCGTCGCATCGCCCTGGGGCCGCTGGGGGCGAGGAGAAGAGTTGCGCCAGGGTTGATGCTGCTTGTCCTCCTGCTCCTCCTCCACCTGCTACGAGCGTTGCACCTGATATGCCAGATCCTCTTTCAAACCACCCCCAATGCTGTCGTGTCCAATCTGCAATCCGGGAGGAGAACCTCCAGAGGTCCATGCTTCAGCATTCGGATTTAAGTTCCCCACATACATGTTTCGTGGGGTTATGTTTTTCTTCCCACCCGCGTCGCACCCGCGTCTTCCTCACACCTCCCGCCTCCCTTTTCCTCCCCCCACCACACAGCATATTGACACACAGCACGTACACAGCACTGCTCAGCGCAGGTCAGCTCAGCTCAGCACAGCACAGCTCAGCTCAGCACAGCTCAGCTCAGCACAGCACAGCTCAGCACAGCACCTCAGCACAGCTCAGCACGGCACCGCACAGCACTACACAACACAGCACAGCACGACGGTCGTCCAGGGCACAGCAGGCGTGTGGTTTTGTCGACGCCATAGGGGGTGCGCAGGGGGATGGTCCCTGAGCGCGGCCGCTATCCGTGACGGTCGTCCAGGGCAGAGCAGGCGTGGCAGAGTCTTGACACCACCAAGGGTGCGCACGGGGTTGTCCCTGAGCGCGGCCGCTATCCGTGACGGTCGTTCAGGGCACAGCAGGCGTGGCTCTTTCTCGACACCACAGGGGGTGCGCACGGGGTGGCCGCTATCCGTGACTGTCGTCCTGGGCACGGCAGGCGTGGCGTTTTCTCGACACCACAGGGGGTGCGCACGGGGTGGTCCCTGAGCGCGGCCGCTATCCGTGACGTTGTTCCTTGCCCCAGCAGGCGTGGCATGTTCTCGACACCGCCAGAGGTGCGCACGGGTGGTTGCAGAGCGCGGCCGCTATCCGTGACGATCGTCGCAGGGTACAGCAGGCGTGGCGTTTTCTCGACACCACAGGGGGTGCGCACGGGGTGGTCCCTGAGCGCGGCCGCTATCCGTGACGGTCGTCCAGGGCACGGCAGGCGGGGCGTTTTCTCGATATCACAGGGGGTGCGCACGGGGTGGTCCTTGAGCGTGGCCGTTCTCCGTGACGGTCGTCTTTGCGGTATGGGCGGGGCAACGGCCACCAACATCATTCTCACATGCTTTTTTTCAGCTATCATCACTTCAGCCATAATCCAAGTAGTTGGGGTTCCTCGGTAGCGTAATTGTTGTGCGTGTGAGAGGGCGGAATGACAAGGGTTCGGGGAGGGACAGTGCGGAATTAGGATGAAGTAGTGAGTAGGGCAGGACTTAGAGGATGAGCGAACCGAGGATTCATTGGGGTAGCCAAGAGATGGTTCTCTGCATCGATCGGCTAGGTGACATAATGCGTGCATCTGTTCATTCGGAGCAAGGACGAGGAGGCTGACGAGGAAAAGTTGGAGCAGGAAGAAGAGGAGGAGGATGAGGAGGTTCAGGAAGCAGGTCGCGCCACCAGCAGCTTCGCAGGGGCGCGCAGGCGGGGAGGCTCCGCAACGGCGCGAGCGGCGGGCGTGTTTGGCTCGTTCGGTCTGTGATGGAAGGGCCTGGCGCCTGCAGGCGCCGTGATGCTCTGGGGGCCTCGCTTTCTGTGTGATGCGCGGCGACGGGGAGGGCGAACGGTAACCGTGGTGCGGTCTTTCATGGGTGCATCAGGGGGTGCCCGAGTTCCTGGCGGTCTTGGGGATTTTGTTCGGATTTCGTCGGGGCTGGTCGTCATCTGGGCGACATCTTGGCGAAATATGGACGAGATCACGTTTATGATGGGCCGCGGAGGTCCAGAGGGTTCCATGAAGCTCCACCCAGTACCGAGAAGCAAGCAGACAACGGCAAACGCGCAGGCGGGAGGCCAAGGCCGGCGGGACGAAGCAGGCGGGCGGGCAAGCGGGAGGGGGCAGAGGGGAGACCCGCAGGCGGGCGAGCGTGACCGCGCAGCGTGCCCCGCGGTCTGGGCTGGAGGGCCGCTCTTCTCCGGGCGAGTCGTTCGCAAGAAGGCGCGAGGCCCAGTGGCCTGCCGTGGGTAGCTCTGCCTTCGTCGAACATGAAAGAGCCATTGACCCCCTACGCACAATGTAGCTAGAGTAAGGTCCCCGTTTCTGCACCTCAGGGATCATCAATATGGGTGGCTTGTCTTGCTACGTCTGCAGAAACGAAACCCTGTCCACAATGTTTTGGGCCTCTTAGAACAGACCCGCTCCCAACAGGTTACGTGTCCTTGTGCTGCTAGTCGTGCCCGCGGGGTCCCCAGTCGATCGAGGCCTTTAGACGTGGTCTGAGCATATGGGGTCGGAGGAGCGCGCCACATCGCCGATGAATCGGCGATGCTTCGGCGATGTATCGTCGATGTATCGTCGACGTCGGCGATGTGTCGACGCCGTCGGCGCGCATCGAGCCGCGTCGCCGGTGGATGGACGACGCGGCGTGTCCCTCTGATCATTCATTACGGACCACATCAAGGAGGCCTCGAATTCAGAAGGCCCCCCCAACTACGTCGGCAACAAACATGCACGGCTGTTGGCCCTGGTGCCTTTTGGTTTCCGTCGTGCGTTCTGGAAACAGTTTTGTATCCCTTGGCGATAGCAGGCGTGGCCGAGGGGATCAAGGGGGGGGGGTGCTGGTCACGGCACGCTTCCCGCCACAGCCTTCTGGGAATGTTGAAGAATAGTCAATTCCCACACGGCGCCGGCGCGAATCGTGACGTGACCATGGGGGCGGGGTGCGGCAGGTCACGGGCGTTTATCACTAAAAATAAGACAGCGGGCTCCTGCATGGACGCTGTTTTCTCGAAGCCATCAAGGGCGACAGGGGCTGGAAGGCGGGCGCGACTGGATCAACGGTCTCCTTGACATCGCCAGTCAAGGTCCTTGGGGACCAAGGTCGACGAATGGCCCGTGATGGGTTCGGAAAGGTTTTGCACGGCGGGGAGGTATCTGTGAGGTGGGCGTCGATCTCAGGACCCGGTGATCGGAGGACTTTGGTTTCTTTGGGCTGAAGGTGTTGAATTGGGCGTACATCGGGCAGCGAGGCCGCCGAATTCGGCGATCTCGCTTTGGCGATCGCTGGAAAGCAAGGACGGCGATCGCGAGCGGCCCAGTCTGACCGCTCTCTCGGCTTCCTGAACACCAGACGCAAGGGCAATGCAACTGGCCCGCTCGAGGGCCTCGGGGCGGGACTGCGGGCAGGGTCTGTGGAAGGGCGTAGAGCCCTGCCAGCAGCTGCAGTTCAGCGAATGCCCCAGGCGCAACTGAGGAACGCCCTGAGGTTCCCTTCGGCCTCCCAGGGCCCGATTGCCGGAGGGGCACGTGGGGAAGGGAACCGTGTCACCTCGGCCCGTTCCGGATCGGAATTTCGACGTGGCCGCGGGGGGTTTGCACGGCGAATATGGAGACGCCCACAAGCTGCCGAAACATCAAAATCGGTAATTTGCCTTCAACGCTTAGGAGGCTGAGTCGTGAAGCCATCCCAGCTGGAGGCAGACACCTCGAAGTTGGAGGTTGGGGGAAGCCAGGGCGAAGGGGAGCATCGGAGAGGGCCTCTCGGGGCTCGGCCCAGTCTCTCGACGGTCTTGGTCCTGCTCGGTGTGCTGCTGGGAGCGAGTTGAGTTAGGGAATGATGGGAAGATGGAGCAAGAGGAAATGGAGTTGATGATCGAGGATGGTGAGGAGGCGGTGGAGGAGGAGGAGTGCGTCGCTAATCTCGCAAGTGTCGGGATATTGAGACAACGCTTCGGTCTTTGGAGCTCCGTGCCGCTTGCCCGTGAGGGTGCGACTGCCGTGCCCGCCGCCAGGAAGTGTACGAGGCCGCCGCTTCCCTCTCTTGAGATGCTTCACCTTAGCCCCCCGAGTTTTGCGGCCCATTCCCCCTTAGTGACTGGTTTTGTCAAATTCCGTGCCATTCCGTCTCCACGCCCTCCTCTCCCACCGCTTCGTTTTGTGCCCTGGAATCACTTGAGATACGTACCCCGATTGCTTGTGTCCCTGGTTCTCTGTTCTCATACCAAGATGGTTGCACGCATGAGGTCGCACGAGGCAAGACATAGGCCAACACGCACGAAGCACGGACGCAGTCTGAGTACACCACATACATGCACGCGACCATTATTGGTTTGAAAGCGGCTACCGAAATGTTGCCGCACAGAGCAGGCAGAGCAGGTCGCTTCGGAAGCGTATTCGACTACAGCCCGACTTAGGACAAACATGATCGCAAGGAGGGAATCGAGACGGAAGGGAGAAGGCAGGATTGGACCACGAGGGGTAGGGAAACGCGGCCTTGAAGCAGGGTTCGAGCCGTTTTCACGCGGGGAGTCAGCCGGAACGACTCGCCGATTGGTGACAGCAGAGAAGGCCTTTGGGAAGCAGTTCACAGGGCCGCGCAAGCGAGAAAGCGGTGCATTTCACGAGCGGTGAGCAAACCCGTATCCGCGCTCTCGCGGTCTGGATTCGAAGGCGCGATTTTGCGGACACGCGATCGCACGGATACAGTCCGCGCGGGGCATCCGCGACAGAGCGCCCCGTTTCGGCGGGTCGCGGCCCTGGGGGTTGGCCCGAGAGGCCACGGATACGTATGTTTCTTTGTCGCCCACTGCCCAGCCGTTTGCCCGCCTGTCCGGCAGCGCGCCCTTGTGCCGCCGCGGAGACGCTGCGCGCCGGCGGAAGGCACGGCAGGCGAGTGAGGGAGGCCCGAGGTTTGGGAGGAGGGCCGATCCCAGACATGCTCGCCGAGCGCGTTCCATTATTCGGAATTGGCAGAGTGCCTATTCGCAAACGTCCAAACAACAAATGTCTGCCTCGTTGCAATGGAGATTGCTTGCCTCGATGCCATGGGGGCATAGTCCATGCGACTTGGGAGTGGCTACTCTGCGAGCAGCGGGACGCGCTTGTCTAGAGTGTGGGGCGCACCTCAGCCCTGCGCGCAACCAGTCCGCGGCGATTGCCTGCAGTGAGTCCCGCCGCCGTGCCAGCGCAGCAACGACATGGTCTGGGGATGATTCGAAGGTGGGCCTGACTCAAGTAGTCCCCGCATGGCTCCACGATGGTTCCAGAGGGTCTGCGTGGGCCCCCAGGGCGATCTGGGCGATCCTGGTCTTTCTTGGGTGCGATGGTTGCCCCGAGTTTTTTTGTCGGAGGAGACGTTGTCAAACTACCTTAGCCGTTCTGGTTCAGGCGTGTTTCTGGGCTTGCGACAGCTTTCTTCAGAGCGGTAGTCGCTGTCGCGTGCCAATTTGGCTTTCAGTTTTGGGGTAGCTCAAACCCCGCAGTGCAGTTGTGGGGTACCTCACAACCCCGCAGTTTGCGACCTCATCGTGCGGCATCCATGGATGGCGACGTGGCTCGAGGGCGCTAAGCAGCCTTTTCTGAGGCTGCCAGGGGTGCGGACGCACGTCGAACTGGGCATGCCGCGTGCGACGCCGATGCGGGGCCAAGGCGCCAGCTGCGGTCCTCCGTCGCGCGCAAGCGGCAGGTTTCGCAAAGCAAGGTGCTGGAGCTGGGAATGCTGGTGGCGGTCGTCAGCGCCTCCCTGCTACTGGCTCCAAGCGTGAGTCGCGCATCGACAAGCAGTTCGCCGATATGGCCAAGAAGCTGGAGCAGCTCACCGCCCCGTCGCGCGCCGTGCCGGCGCAGGGAGGCGGAACTCCTCCCGCCGCGCCACGTGATGATGACGATGGAGACGCAGCCCTGCGCACGGAAACCACCCAGCTGGAGGCCGCTATCAACGCGTGCAAGGGCGAACGCATGGCGCCCGCAAGGCAGTTAGTTGCTGGAGCAGCAGCTGCGCGAGGTGCGGAGCAATATCGAGTCAAGGAGGTCGGGCCTAACGCAGAACAGCAATGTGGGGCACGGGCTCAACAGGGCGAATGCGAAGTTTGAGAAGTTCAAACAGGAGCTGGCCGACTTCGACAAGAATATGGGGCAACTGCAGGAGGACAGGGCGGATGCCGACGCCGAGTGGCAGGCGGCCGAGTACGCGGCGCTCCAGAAGCAGTTGGTGGCTTCGCTGCCACTGGATTCTGACGCTGGCGTGGATGTCTTCGGGGTGCGCAGAAGATACTGCAAGGGCGCGAGGCCATCCAGCAGATGTTCGAGACAGACGCCTTTCAGGAGTTCGCGAGGCTGTACGGGGCTCATGCGAAAGGCCCCAGTTCGTGCTGATGCTTTTCGGCCTGATGATGATGATGGAGAGGTCCCTGCCCCCGCTGGAGGCGACGAACGCGTCCGCCGCCCAGTGCCAATGGACGCGGCGTTCGACGACGCCTTCGGGGGTCAGGAGGCAGCAGAGCAGTTCTGGGACATAGGAGGCATGACTTGGGTAGGTGGTGCCAAGCGTGCTATCCTGGAGGTATTGCTTAATGCCAAGGTCAAGAGGCCACGCGCAGAGTGTCTTGAGCCATCGACAGACGGAGAATGGGTTGGTGGTCTCGGAGTGGAGTATGGTGGCGTATCATATCTTACTCCCCCCGCAGTGGCTAGTACGCTACAGGTATGGTGATATTGTTGCGGGTTCCTGCCTCCTCGGCTGGTCGGGCTTGCAGTCTGGCAGCTACACGAGTGCGAAGGAGGGGCCCGATGTGGACAGTGCAGGTTTCTTTGGCCCGAGCGGTCAGGCTTCGGGTCGCGTGGTCTCTGCGCCGACACCGCGATGCATTGGTTTCAAGATGTCGGCGCATGGGGCGAGCTGTCCGACGAACGCCGCCACTCCGTCTCAGCGCGATAGTAGGGCGTTCGTTTTTGAATTTTATAATGGGAACAGCTGGGGCACACTCTAATCGAGGCGTGCTTCAAATACGGCCCTGGTGGCGTGCGCCCAAGAGATCGGCGTGGATGAAGGGCGGTTGGGAGCCCGAGTCAGCTCCGCCAAAGCAATGGGTTGGACCACGCGATGCTCGCCCTCGGAGCCCCGAGCGCAGGGGCGTGCCTCAGCTGGCGTGGCCATCATCGTCAGGATCACTGTCGGCATGGGATGGCCTTCGCGCGTGGCGAGTGGACTCACTGTCCCGCGCCGGCTCAGTTTTGCCGAGATTGATCTGCCAGGCTGGCCCCCGTTGCATGCGGGTAGCGCGCACCTGCGCACTGGGGGCGGGGGGGGGGGGCGGGGGCGGGGTGGGCCAACGCAGCCATCATGTCCTCAGCAAGGCGGGCAGGTGATTGAAGGCAGGCGTCTCGCTCTGCTTTGTGCTGACTGGAATTTCGGCTTTGACTGTCTGGAGATGACGGGAATGCCACGAAAGTCAGGGATGTTCATTTCGAGGCCTCCGATCGCGACGCGTGCCACGGCAGGGGCCGAAGCGACGATGAATTATTGTTTGGTGTCGGCAGTTTTCAGTAAGTTGGTGGAGCGCGTCTTGGCGGTCACGTCGCGGCCCAAGCGCCCGCGTCGCATTGTCCAGTTGCAGCCCAGGCCTGGGGCGATCAAGCAGCAGCAGTTGGTGTACGCGAGTCACCAGAGGCCCCCCGCGGATCTCCCGCTGGGACCCACGAGTGCCCCCGCGGACTGGACTGCCCTCGGGCCCGGGCTGAGCGGGCTGACCTCGTCGCCGACATTCAGGGCGTGATGGCGGCCTGGGGAGTGCTGGATGCGGCTTGGGAAGCTTTTTCGGATGCCATGGAGCTTGAGTTAGAGAGCGAGCTGGGCGCCCTCATCAAGCGCAAGGGCAGCGAGGGCCTTCCTTTAGTGGCGAGTTGGGCTCCCGTTTTGCAGCCCCCCCCCCAGAGTAAGGTGGCGGATGATGTTCGTGTCTGGGTTGGTTGGGTCTAGCTTCAGCAGTGTGCTAGGGGCCTTTTTAACACCAGCCAGAGATTAGCCGCGCAGATGGACTCTTTGATTGATCAATGTGAAGCCCAGGCCGCACGGAACCTCATTGATATTGTTGCGCAGCCTTTCGATGCCGAGGGGCTCTCACCTAGGCCCGATCTCGCGGTCAACGAGGCCCGCCAGGCGATGGCTTCGTGACCCGCGCGCCTGGCTGGTTTCGCAGATTGGGCCGACCAGTCCGCCGAGCTTCTGGGGGAGTGGGAGGGGGACATCAAGGAAGCTAGGGGTTGTTTGGATGGGCAAGGATAGGAAGTGCTGGGGCCAGTGGCAAGCTGACGCCCCGGCTGGGTCAGCCAGGAAGATGCACCGTTTAACGCGTCTTAAACACATGTGGGAGCCCACGGCCACCGAGAAAAGTCCTTGGGCGTTGTCGTCGGACCTCGTGTTTTGCTGGCCACGGAGGCCGATGGTTTGGGAGCTTTTGGCATGCCACTAGTTTACCACCGCCCGTCGACGTCTCTGATAGGGGCTGCTTCGGCCGCCTCAGTGCGCCTGGGATTCGCGCTGCTGCCAGGGCGTTCTCGCCGCGCACAGCGCAGTTCCTTGACGGGGTGCATGTGCGGCAGTGCTCGTGCCTGACTGACCAGGGGTTGGACGCTCTGGCGTGTTTTTTTCCAGATTACGGAGAAGCTTGGGCTTTGCCCCCGAGCGTCGTACTGGATGTTGTTCCTTTTGCTCGAGAAACCCATGGGAAGTTCGAGACCCTTTCTATTGTGCCGCCTCGCGGCTTTGGAGGGAATTCCGGAGACCCCTTCGCTTTGCCACGACGGATAAGCACCCGCGCCGTTCTTGGGCTTTTTGGGCGGGCAAGTCGGCAGACGCCCGCGTCTGGGGCCAATCGGTCAAGGCGGAAGCCATGGTGGGAGAAGGCGGCGTCGCGGCTGGTTTCTCTTGGGAGGGAACAGAGTATTACGAGTGTTTTGATTTGGCGCCGTTGGGGAAGCGGGCGATGGAAGCGGGGCTTGACCCCGCCATTGTCAAGGTTGCCATTGATTTCTGGCGGGGGCCCGGGATCCTGCGCGTGGGATCGGATCGCAGTTTGGCGACCCTACATGCTCCCAGCGGGCTGCCAGCGGGATAGCGTTTCAATAGCGTTTTAGGTATATGCGGCGCAGCTGTTTGGCGGCTTTGTCCGCCGCAGCCCGGGTGTGGGTATGTCGTCGTGCGTTGACGACGGCGCCGTCAGCTGCTACGGGCGGCCGAGTGAGGTGCTCGAGGCTGTCAGCGATGCGGCGGCCGATCTGCGGTGCCTGTTTACTCAGGAGCGTCGGGTCAACTTAGCCGCCGACAAACTTATGGCGCTTGCGTCTTCCAGTGGGCTTGCCCGTCGCCTCGGAGGTCGCCTCGGCTTGCCGGCTAGTTCGGTCGGAACGCACGCGGCGTTTTTGGCTTGCGTTTTGGCCCCTGGAGGCCAGCGGCATAAGAAAGGCCACCTCCTCGAAACGTCGTAGACGCTTCAAGGATATGTTTAGAAGGCATAGAGTTCTCCAGATATACCAGAGGGCCCTTTCCCGCGACAGTGGAAGGATTGGTAAGATATAGACGGCGGGGGTGAAACTTGGGCTCACTTGTCGGCATGGCCGACGGTGAACTTAAGCGAGCGAGGAGCGTGCTGCTATCTTTCCAGGCTCCGAGGCACACGGGTGTCTCGACGCGGTCCAAGATTGCGCTGGTTGGCGACCCCCTTTGGCTGAGCACGGTTGCCCCCGCGGTGGCTTGGGCCCAGGCGGCGCGGGGCGCCGTCGCCAGGCCTGGGTTTGCGAATTTCTCGGGCAAGGACTTGCGCGCGATGTGGAGGGAGGTGGGCAGGGAAGGGCCCAGTTGGGAGCAATCCAGAGGGCCCATCAGTAAGGTGTTCCTGTCGCTGCAAAGGATCGGGCGGCGCGCTGACTCGCCCCTCGACTGGATTGGCGACGAAGGAGTGGAGCACATTCTGGTCTACACCTCCCCCTCTTTGGTTGCGAGTTTGCTCGAAGCGGGGGTCCAGCGTTTCCATGGGCGGACCCTGGCAACCAAATTTGGTAGGGCCCCAGGGGCCCGCGTCTGCGTTGAACCGATTCGTCGGCTGGTGAGCCCCAGGGCCAAGGGCATCGGCCGAAAGGCCTCACGGCCCAAGGAAATATTTAGCGCGTTCTGCTTTTTGTGATGGCCTGTGGACCGGGATCGCGCGGTCGAGGCTGGATACCTCGGCCTTGGATTGTGCCCTTTTGTGCCAGGGGCCCGATTCGGTGGGGCATCGCATCTACCTGCGCCAGCGCGCGGACGCTGTGCAGGCGCGGGGGGCGCTGGAGCTACCACGTGACTTATACGCGGCGGATCTGGGCGGGGATCAGCGTCGGCATGACGGCCTCAAGATGGAACGTCACATCAGTTACTGGCCCCAGCCCAGTGACAAGCATGAGCCTGTGCTTTATGATAATGATGGGAATCAGGTGGAGTGGGGTCAGTTGGATGTGAGTGAACTGTATCAGGCTGAGGATGGGTCTTGGATTCCCCATGCGAGTAGGGAACTGTCTCGGGCGGGGTACTCTTGGGTTTTCTTTGACGAGTATGGGAACCACAAGTATACCGCGAGAGGGGCTGCGTGGCCCTCACTCCCGCAGACCAGCCAGGCTGCCGAGCAGCTGCAGCTTGCTTTGATGCCCATCTTTGTGCCCAGTATGCGGTCAGCGTGCTACAGCGATTGGATGCTGTCAAGTTGCGCCCCCCGAGCAGCGATATGGAGGCTTAAGGTACATATGAACAAACAAGAACACGCCCCAGCTGTCCACGCGCCAGCTCGCAGGAAGCTCGAGGACAAAGATAAGCTCCCGCTGTTAGAACGTGGGATAGGCCAGGCCAACTGGCGAGCGCATATTGAGGCTAAGAGGGCGATGGAGGTCCACCCCCGGCCTTCGGATGCCGAAAGCTAGGGGCTAGAGCACGATGTGCGGCGCGTGGAGTATGTGGCCCGTTTGGCTGCTGAAGTGCTGCCTTTGTTTCCCGGGGCGACCCGCCAGAGGCCCCTTTCGAGAGCTCGGCCCAAACAGATTTTTGATAAGGCCACCTCGTGGCACTGCTGGGGGCCCGGATTGTGGGGATCCCGTCGCGCCCGGTGTCTTGATTTTTACGGTGGCCATATCCACGACAGGCCTGAGCTGGGCTGTGGAGACTTCCCCGAGCGCGTGGCCGAGTTGTCGGTCAGCGCCAGAGCACGGACACGAGTTAGCGAGCACGCAAGTGGG